GCGGAGCAGGCACAGCAAAGCGCTTTCGAGGAGCTGGGACTGGAGCGAGCTCTGGGGCTGGAGTCGACACTGGAGCGAGCTCTGGGGCTGGATCCCTCCCTGGGCTTGACTGGGGATCAGGAGCCCTCCCTGGCCTTGATTGGGGATCAGGAGCCCTCCCTGGGCTAAACGGGGAATCAGGAGCTCTCCCAGGGCTTAACTGGGGATCTGAAGCCCTCCCTGCGCTTGACTGGGGATCAGGAACCCTCCCTGGGCTAAACGGGGGATCAGGAGCCCTACCTGGGCTTAACTGGGCACCTGAAGCCCTCCCTGGGCTTAACTGGGGAACATGAGCCCTCCCTGGGATATACTCGGGAACAGGAGCCCTCACAGGGCTGAACTGGGGATCAGGAGCCCTCCCTGGGCTTAACGGGGAAACAGGAGCCATCCCTGGGCTTAACGGGGGATCTGGAGCCCTCCGTGAGCTATACTCGGGATCAGGAGCCCTCCCTGTGCTTGACTGGGGATCAGGAGCCCTTCCTGGGCTTGACTGGGGATCAGGAGCCCTCCCTAGGCTAAACGGGGAATCAGGAGCCCTCCCTGGGCTAAACGGGAAATCAGGAGCCCTCCCAGGGCTTAACTGGGGATCTGAAGCCCTCCCTGGGCTTGACTGGGGATCAGGAACCCTCACTGGGCTAAACGGGGATCAGGAGTCCTCCCTGGGCTTAACTGGGGATCTGAAGCCCTCCCTGGGCTTAACTGGGGATCAGGAGCCCTTCCTGGGCTACACGGGGAATCAAGGGCCCTTCCTGGGCTTAACTGGGTAACAGGAGCCCTCTGTGGGTTATACGAGGAATCTGGAGCCCTCCCTGGGCTTAACTGGGGATAAGGAGCCCTTCCTGGGCTTACCTGAGGAACAGGAGCCCTCCGTGGGCTATACGAGGAATCAGGAGCTCTCCCTGGGCTTAACTGGGGATCAGGAGCCCTCCCTGGGCTTAACTGGGGATCAGGAGCCCTTCCTGGGCTGAAATCGGAAACAGGAGCCCTCCCTGGGCTTAACGGGGAAACAGGAGCCATCCCTGGGCTTAACGGGGGATCTGGAGCCCTCCGTGAGCTATACTCGGGATCAGGAGCCCTCCCTGTGCTTGACTGGGGATCAGGAGCCCTTCCTGGGCTTGACTGGGGATCAGGATAGCGCTTACGTGGTGCTGGGCTAAACTGGGAAACTGGAGCCCTCCCTGGGATTAACGAGGGATCTGGAGCCCTCCGTGGGCTATACGCAGGAACAGGAGCCCTCACAGGGCTGAACTGGGGATCAGGAGCCCTTCCTGGGCTTAACGGGGAAACCGGAGCCCTCCCTGGGCTTAACGGGGGATCTGGAGCCCTCCATGGGCTATACTCGGGAACAGGAGCCCTTACAGGGCTGAACTGGGGATCAGGAGCCCTCCCTGGGCTTAACGGGGAAACCGGAGCCCTCCCTGGGCTTTACTCGGGATCAGGAGCCCGCCGTGGGCTATACTCGGGAAGGATCTGGAGCCCTCCGTGGGCTATACTCGGGAACAGGAGCCGTCACAGGGCTGAACTGGGGATCAGGAGCCCTCCCTGGTCTTAACAAGGAAACCGGAGCCCTCCCTGGGCTTAACGGGGAAACCGGAGCCCTCCCTGGGCTTAACGGGGGATCTGGAGCCCTCCATGGGCTATACTCGGGAACAGGAGCCCTTACAGGGCTGAACTGGGGATCAGGAGCCCTCCCTGGGCTTAACGGGGAAACCGGAGCCCTCCCTGGGCTTTACTCGGGATCAGGAGCCCGCCGTGGGCTATACTCGGGAACAGGAGCCCTCCCTGGGCTTAACGGAGAATCAGGTGCCCTCCCTGGGCTTAGCTCGGGAACAGGAGCCCTCCGTGGGCTTGCCATATTATCGTCCTTTGGGCTTATTAACAGCCGGCTGACTTGACTCGGGAACTGCCGGCAGATGGGCCGGATCGGGATCGGAGACTCTGCAGACACCGGATGACTGCCTCCTTCCAGCCGAGGTTGGTGGTGTCTGGGAGCTCCGCGGGGCGATGGTAAGTTATCCCGATCCGGAACAGCGTCACAAGGGTTTCCCCCTCGAAGGAGCTGGAGAGGGCGAGCGGCAAGAAAGCCCTCACGAAAATAATTGTGTCTGGGCTCGTATGAGCCAAGGCAAGGAACCTCGCTCGTTCCTCCATTTGAATGGGGAGAAACGAACGGGGGGAAAAACAAAAAACTATTTGAAAAAACGTAAAACAAACACGGGTAGAAGGGGCGCCACTTACTGTCACTTTAGGTCTGGAATTCTGTCACGGGATGCTACTGTGAGGAGCACGGAGCAAGGAACGAGGAGACCAGGAGTACAAAACAAAGGAGTTTAGTTCTTTTTTTTCAGGGAATCACACGTTGCACAAGGAGTTGACAAACACAATCCCAGACAAAGAAACTCAGAACAGACTAGAACTAAATTCATCAACACAATAAGACGCCGGAGCTGAGAGAGTGTCATACTGTCTGCTCACAATGAGCTGTTGTTTGTTGGGCTTGTAAAACAGTCATGTGTGTGTGATTTATTCTTTCTGTGTGTTGGAGCTCATTGTAATCTGGTTTAGTGTCTCTGATGAATTAGCCTACAGAACTTCATGATATTCAGCGGATACTGACTCACTGTCGTTCATGGACACAAACGCTCTTCAGCACATCATCAATGGATCGTGTGAAGGAACCTTTGAACTTTGACCTGCTCTAAGCATCAGCATCCTCACTGCATCTAGTCATCAATATTAGGCTTTTTTTTCCTTTTCTTTTTTTGACATTAAAAGTGATAGTTCAGCCAAAAATGAAAATGTTGTTATCATTTACTCATCCTCATGTTGTTCCAAAATGAGAAAGTTTCTTTCTTCTGTTGAACACAAAAGAAGATATCTTGAAGAGTGTGGGTAAGCAAACAGTTTCCATCCCCATTGACTTACATAGTATTGTTTTCTCATGCTGTGGTTCAGCAGAAGAAAGAAACTCAACTTGAAGTTGGAAAGACTTGAAGGTGAACTTTCCTTTTAAGAGCAAGACGCACATGGAAATGAATATCAGAGCAAAAACAAAACCCTGATGTCAAAAGAATATATATGTATAATTTACATTAATCATTTAAAAAATCCATTTGAATAAACGAGTCAATGACTCATCACTCATAGAGGCTTCTCTTTCTTCATTACTGGATGAATCAGTGTTTTTGAAAGGATCTCTTGAAAGAGTGATTCAATGACAAATACATTTCCTACCAGACACTTGTCACCAGCCACCTACTGGCGTAAAATGTAATGAGACAGTCTTTCTTTGAAAGGTCAAGTTACTTTCAGAAAGTGATCTATTCTATATTGATCGCTACTAAAGACAACAGTGTTTATATCCAAACTATAACATTTTATCCCAGTAGCTCTGTGATTATCTTTTTACCATTCGAATGTGAATGTTTGTGTTTTCAGAGAGAAATCGTCTGGCATGAGGGGTTCAGGGTGTTTTTGCAGCTCTTGCTGACTGATCAAGAGAAGCAGAAGCACTTCACGCTTGTGTTTTTGTGATCTCCTGGCAGTTTGCTCGCGTCCCACGCTCTGAGTCAAACCTTCTAGCGCTGATACAGGACCAGCCTCTGTAGACCCAGCAGAGCCGTCTGAGAGAGCGTGAAGCTGAGCTCAGATCAGCAACAGACGCAGAGAATCGAGCCTCTTCCTCAGGAAGAAGCAGGCCTGACTGTGTGGCATGCAGGTCTCCTCCAGCCGGATGTTTGCAGAGCTCAGTGGCACACCTGCTGCAGGACGATGTTTGCTGGGCCTGCTGTGGTTGAGATCTGTTGCTGAAGTGAAACAGCTTGGCTCTCTTCCAGAGGATGCACTGTGAGATATTTATAGAAAGGACAGCGCTGGTGTTTGAATGCTTGAACAGAATGTTCATGCCAATCCAGGTGGCTGCTGCTGGTTAGCGTTGGTTTGATGTTGGCTTTGATGGTTTGCCCACACAGTCACACTGTGTTTTACAGTCTCTGCACTGGCTACCTATTAAATTCCGTATCAGTTACAAAATATTATTACTTGCCTATAAGGCCCTTAATGGGTTAGCTCCTGCGTACCTAACTAGTCTTCTACCACGCTACAATCCATCATGCTCCCTAAGGTCGCAAAACTCTGGACTTTTGGTAGTACCTAGGATAGCAAAGTCCACTAAAGGAGGTAGAGCTTTTTCGCATTTGGCTCCCAAACTCTGGAATAGCCTTCCTGATAACGTTCGGGGTTCAGACACACTCTCCCTGTTTAAATCTAGATTAAAGACACATCTCTTTGGCCAAGCATTCAAATAATGCATCTCATAATCTTTTACTGCAGTTATATCTGATCAAATGCACATTATTATTCTTTAGTTTGGGTTAAAAGTTGTTTTGACACAATCTGTATTGTTAAAAGCGCTATATAAATAAAGGTGACTTGACTTGACACTGTTCACCAGCAAAACACGACCGATGACCCTGGGCTGAAGGTGGTAGATCTCGAGAAGCGCTGGTTTTTTAGTTTCAGGGTTTTTTGTAGAATGTACAAGGCGAAAGGAGGAGGCAAAATTGGATGACAAAACAACTGGATGAGACACCAGCAGTTACAGTTTTTTTCAGCTGCTTGCACACAAAATCTTTACTCGTCACACAGTTTCTGAAAGCTGACACTCAAACAGCAGAAGCACACACCAAATCTGCAAACCCACACACTAATTCTCGGTCTTTGACTCGGTTTTCAGTTTCATGAAACAGTTTTTGCAAAACACAACACACAATTCTCTATGTAACACACAAAAGGAATTAATATTATGGCAAAGGTGTTTGCAAATGTTTGCTTTTGAGATGTGTTTGTGATATTTTGAATGCAGTGCTTCATTTTGCAACAGATGTGAGGCATTTTGCATTTTGTGTGTTCAATTCTTGGATTTGTGTGTAAAGTTTTGAAACGAAGAGGCAAAGTTTTGAAAATGTGTGTTAAAAACTGTAAAGTTACAGTGGAAGTCATCGTCTCGCTTATTGAGCGAAGAGGCAAAGTTTTGAAAATGTGTGTAAAAAACTGTAAAGTTACAGTGGAAGTCATCGTCTCGCTTATTGAGTTTTAACAAACCTCTAAAGCGTGCGCTGGGTTTGATGGGGCATCACTGACAATATAGAGGGGAAAGTCATGTGAGAAAATGCAGTGCCTCCATGGTGCTATGACTGGCCTATTACTCAGTTAATGCAATAAATCCCGCCTTTCGCTTTTTTTTTTTTGTGCATCCTCAAATCAGTCTGAGTGAACAAATAATGGTGTTAATGGGAAGACTGATAAAAAGTAAGCAACAACTAACACACTTGATAGCATCACTTTATGCCACATTCAAACTTGAAATGACTTGAAAACATCATCTTTCAGTATTTTTATTTTTTTTTGTGAGCAATCAGCTTGGTGAAGTTAAAGGCACATCTCAGTGTCCCGGCAGGTGTTTACTGAGCTTTGATGAACGATGCTCAGATTATTAAAAAGAACAGCTGAACATCAGTTTACAAAGAAAATATACATGAATGTGTTCTTATAGCTATCATTTTGGAATGGATGTAACCATGCTTAAAAACACTGATTTATGCTTGGGTTTAATAAAATAAATATATTTATTATTTATTACATATTGTACTTGTTAATGCAAACCTACAAAATAGAATGGCATCGGTTGTTGTTTTTGACAGTGTGTGTTTATTTAACCTGGAAAGTGTCTTACGAGTGTATCTGGAACATGGATTTACATTGGATTAAAGCACAAACAAGCAAACAAGCAAACAGACAAGACGAGTGCTTATTTTAGAAGCAGCGCACAGCACTGGAACACACTCATCGTTCGGCTTTCACAGCTTAAAGAAATGTGACACACTTTCAAAACAAACCGTTTCAAACAGGAAGCAGTGGGTTCAACCACTACGAATATTTCTAGACTGTTGGTGCATCTATCTGTAAGAATACGAGACCAGCTTTCATGTCGTCTTTACTGACTGCAGGTGTTGAAAGATTTGCACTGCCTGGAATCACCTTCGCTCCGACTGATTTATTACTCACTGATAATTGGTTGCACTAAGATGCTGTGCATCCTCACCGTGGCCTCTGGAGCGTGTCGATGACGGTCCTCTTACGCTCGCCTTTTGAAGTGCTTGGCTTTCATTAACCGCGTCACAAAGGCTCTTCAAAGGCTCGGGTCATTAGGGCCAATGGGCCAGCAACAGGTGCAGGTAGAACCTGAAGAGCACAAGAAGACTCCCGTCATGTCTAGGTATCACTGATCTCTAGGACTGTGTTTGAGTCTGGTTTGTGTCCCTTGTATCTTAGTCAGAAAATCCCTTTGAGCATGAGTTTGGACAGTGTACTTGAAATGACTTTGTTTATTCAGTGTATGATAGAACACATTCATCGCTTTGGTCTTGACACCAAGGAGCTAAATTTCAAAACTCAATAAGCCCTCATTTCTCATGCATATCTTGCCTAAAAGCTTCCTGCATGTTTGTTAGAAAAAGCACCAGCTTTCAGATAAACAGTAAAAATAGCCCACCCGGGCTGATGCAATGCACGGAAAGCTGCGGCGGCGCATGCATCCGTGCAGAATGTGTGTGTTTGGGCTCATCGCTCCACGCTGCAGGACTCCGCTGGTGCCGGGTCGGATTTGGCCTCGTGTCCTGCAGGGTCTCCCAGATGACCAGACTGAATTACATAACATACTGGAAGTGGTCAGTGCTCACGACCCTGAACGCTGCTGACTCTGTGTGTATTACGGCGAGATGCATCTGATGCCAGAGTTTATGGATCAAGTGCTAGTTTTGAACACTTTCTGATAGATGCATACAGATACAGATATTTGGCGATTATCTTTATATTACAACACTGTATTTGTTCTACCACTATCTGTTCTAGAGACGCAGTGGCAGATACTTCAAATAAATGTTGCTGGTTGGATGCTGGTTCAAGTTCTTCTTAACCAGCAAGACTTCATCAGAAGACAGTACACACAGACAAATGTGACCCTGGAGCACAGAAGCAGTCTTAAGTCGCTGGGGTATATTTGTAGCAATAGCCAACAATACATTGTATGGGTCAAAATTATAGATTTTCCATTTATGACAAAAATCATTAGGATATTAAGTAAAGATCATGTTCCATGAAGATATTTTGTAAACATTATTTTTGATTAGTAATATGCATTGCTAAGAACTTCATTTGGACAACTTTAAAGATGATTTTCTCAATATATAGATGTTTTTGCACCCTCAGATTCCAGATTTCAAATAGTTGTATCTCAGCCAAATATTGTCCTATCAATTTCACAATTTACATCTCAATTATAAATCTCAACACCCACACACACACACACACACACACACACACACACACAGACACACACACACACGTTCTGCAATTTCACTTCTCACGTTTCTGGTTTGTGGCATTGCTAATATTGTTGGTTCCTTTATGATAAATTAGGTTAGTGTTTTTCCACTTTTGCAATAAAACTATAAACATTCAGATAAAAGCATCTGCCAAATGAATAAATGTACTATAAATATATGTTTAACTGTTGAACAGTACTATCTGGCATTAACCAGCCTAAACATGGAAATAAACTGGTCTTTTGAGGCAGATTTAGCATAAACTCTAGTGTATTTAGTGCTGTATTCAGATGTAGACTGTCACATTAAAGCAACAGTCAAGAGTTTGGATGTGTCTTCTGAAGCTTTTCTCTTGTTTAAGCGTGTGTTTGTGCTTCATCTAGAAATAGCGTCTTACTCAGTTTCTTCCTGTTCCTCCCGCTCTCGTTCCCGCTTCTGCTCTGCTGCTCATCCTCGTGCTAATTGCGTGACGTCTGACCTCAGAACGCTGCTGGGGTCACGGGGTCATGGTCAGCATTGACAGGCCGCTCAGCAGGAAGCCTCTCTGACATTTGCGGGTCTGTGAGGTGTGTTCATCTCCTCGTGCCCCACAGAGCTGCTTTCTCATGAACCGTGCACTAATGTGACCACAGCTACCAAACATGTCCTTCCCCGTAAGAATCTCCAGAGATCACTCGATCCCGTCTGAAAGCAGCCACCAAACAGAAAGATTAGTTTCAAAAATTAATGGTGTGTCGGATGTCTCTTGGACCTGGGTTTATGAGTCTCTGTGTCTGAGTTTAGGGAGGATGTTGTGCATACTGAGTCACATATTAAATTATACTTACACAACAATTCATAGAGTCCGCTGTAACAGATGCTGTATGTTTGTGTGGTGCTGGTTAGACTGAGTGAAACCATACACTGAAAACACATCTTTACTCTGAAACAATCCTTACAAAGAAATTGGTAGTACATTTCACAAATAATTAAAAATAAACAATTATCACATTGAAATCTTGATCTTGTGATATTTTAAATGGGTCATGAAATGAGAAAGCAAAATTCCCTTGATATTTTTACATTTAAGAGGTCACTGTACTATAAAAACATCCTGCAAGTTTCAGGACTCAAAACTTTCTCATTAGTCTAAAAACAGCTTATACTGAAGCCAATCTCCCAAAACGACAGCTTGTGGAATGCACAACCCTATGATGTAATAGTGTGGATAAGCACCGCCTCCGCAGAAGAAGATCAATGCCTGCTACTACATCACTGCCTGTTTAGCTCCGCCCACCGATTCTACAGCGCTGCCTGTTTAGCTCCGCCCACCGATTCATGCATGTAGTGTGAATAACAAGAGATGTGAACGCAGGTCTGCGCAGAAACCAAACAATAAACTTTATTTGAAGAACTTTACTTTTAATGAAGTAGCGCTTCATTAAAATACAATGCTGTGCGACTATATTGGATCCGACAATAATGTGGCAACACGTGTGAGTTTTCACACAATGAACTGTTTTCATTACGTGATCACTATTGCTTTGTCTGTTATTACAGATGGTTTGCTATGCATTGAGTTATTTATGCATTTTAAAACATCGATCTGTGTAGGATGTATGCTGTCAATCATACACAACTATTAGCCAATCATAGCAGTCTT